TTATGCATTATTATTTGTACCCTTGCCCAAAAGCAGTCAAAATGACTGCATTGTGAAAGAATAATGTGTAAAGAAATTTGTCTAAAATTAATTTTTAATATTTTTTATATTATTTACAGTCATATAACAAGTTATTAGTAAATGTTAACAATAAAAAAATTTACTTCACTTGGGAAAAAAAATAATTTATGCATTATTATTTGTACATTTGCCCAAAAGCAGTCAAAATGACTTCCTTGGGCAATCTAGTGTTAACAATGGAAATTATTAATTAATCTAAGAAGTATTATTTTTGGAAGGAACATTGCGAAAAGTTGAATCGAAGATTTAGGTCATCCATTCTTATGGGTGGGTTAAGCGAACAAGATTAATCGTCTGATCAGTGGGGCAACATTGTTAAATGCGGTAGGTAATTGATTAAGAGCGGCTCACCGATTGAAATTGCACGTTTGCATGATCGAGAAGTATAACCACGATCCTAATGATTCCGATTTTGTTTATGTAATCTTAGGATGAGCCACGATGATTTATTAAAACTCTGATGCATCAATTAACTGCGCTCACATCTCGTTACACTTTTCCGCCGAAATAATTAAATTTAATTATTATGAAATTACTGAAATTATTAATCATCTTGCTTAAAAGTAGTATTATATAATAATTTTGTTATACCGTTCAGTAAGTCAACTCCAGATTATTTCCTAACCATTTTGGCTTGCATAATCATATAAAAACTCTCATTGCCATACACCTACGCTCCAAGGATATGATACTGAATAAATTCCTTGCATAATTGTCTTGGCTTATCAGCATTTGCTATTCTTATCACGAGAAGAGACAGAGAGGAGTGTATGCAATATATTTCTGTAATTAATGGACTAAGGAAAAACCAACAGTGATCTGTGCTCATAAATTAAATGAAACGCGAACCGGACCTATAATTCTCTTTCTAAAGGAAGTCAGCTTGGACGAATAGGAGGCTCTTTTTTTTAGATAACGATCATTCATGCGTACATTCGAGGAGCAACTTTCTCGATTCACAGGTCGGTTCGATCGATCGATTGATCAAACTTGAATCAGCGAAACTCATCGCTTCGGGCGACGTTGCCCAACGATTGCTCCATTTATCGTGTTTCGAGCGCGAGAGGCCACAGGGCGTGTAGTACTGATTACATGGAACAGTTCCGTTAACGGCGTCGGCTTCTGATCGGTTAAAGAAAGTTTCTTTTTATTATTAATGGACTGTTTCATATCGTTTTTGTCATATGAATTTAAAACACGGAATGTGCAATTTCTTGCATGCTTTAAACAATAAATTATCGTTAAAAACTTTAAACGTGAAAATGTAATAAAACAAAAGGCACAGAAAAATTGAAGTTGAAAGTATAATAAAATTTGCAACAAAATATGTTCGTTCCATTTTTAACACGTTAAGTATAATTTAAAAAAGTATATTCTTCTATTAATAAATTTTAAATAATTGAAAAATCATAAACGGATGTACCTAAATAAATTATAATTAATATTATTGAAACACTTAATGATTCTTAAAATAATTAACGCCTAAACAGAAAGACAGAACAGGCTTGGGCGCTTAATATGCCAAAGGTTCTTGACTTTTTCACGAATGCGGAGAAAGTGCTGTTTCGATTCACGTCAGCCAAAAATCGCAGCTGCATATAAAACACGTGGAAAGAAACGCGACTACCATAACCGATTTCTTTGTACAGAGAGAATAATTTCTCTTTAAAATGTTCGATCAGCCGTTTAAACGTTTACAATGGAATTCTAATCAGTAATCGGGATAAAGATAAACGATCGACCGACCGATATCCGCACGCTGTCACATTTACGTCGTTTATCTTTGATTTGGGCGATGCAAGGAAAATAGCCAATTTGTAGAACAAGTAGAAAGTCGAAACGTATCGCAGCGATCATGCGAATGCACTCGAAGGCTGTGCACACGTGGACAGTTGCATTGACAGCTGACACGCGGAGTTTGTTTTCGTACGTGCCGGTACTACATGCTGCCTTTTGCATTGACAGACCGTAGCCAATGCCAGATAACAAGAGTCAACAGGTTGAATAAATCCTTGAAATGAATCCAAACTTCCAAATGAAGTTAGCATTGTCAATAATCTGAATAATTTCGAATTCTCTTCTCTCTTTTGATAGCTAATACGCTTTTTATATGCATTATATATTGGAAGTTCACTGTCACCGATATTTATGGTTACTATTTTCCTATCAAAGCTTACAGTAAAGGTTAACCCATTCGCTGCCAAGCCTAAATTATATAAAGTCATTCCTATTGCCATTTATATTTTGAGTGCTATTGTTTACCAAAACCCTGTTATTTCTTGGTAAGAGCACATATATTATCATACATAATCATTTAGAAGCAGAAAACCAAAGACGAGTATACTCGTCGTTGGCAAAGGGCCTTCAAAAGAGCCTGCATGTTATAATATATTTAAAGCAGGACGAGTATACTCGTCCTGGCAATGCGTGACACCCTGCCAAAGACGAGTATACTCGTCCTTGCCAGCGAATGGGTTAAACAACTGCACATTCTTCAGATATCTTATTGGCACGAACGAAATTTCTGGTTTGGATTACATCAGACCGTTTAGAATGTAATAATTCCTGTTCTTACGTGCCATCGTTTCGTTTATCGCTTGTACTTATGTCTTGTACACCAGAGAAAATTGCCAACAGAAATCTGTTAAGTCACCGAAATTTCACGAATTCATCACGCGTAAACGACACTGTTTTATGGCCGCATAAGGAGCCAACCGATTAAATCTGCACCTTGGCTCATCTCGATTTACGGTTAATGGTGGCAGTAACGAAGCGATAAACGCTACCTTGCACCTGCACGCATCGTACTTACGCCTGGCGCAAATCAATTTTCTTTGTTTGCACAATCAATTTCGCGTGAAATGGATGGGAACTGAAAAATGTTCAGACGTCAATATTGCAATATCGTAAATCAGTGGTCGCTACGCTTTGACCAAACCGAGACAAAAAATATGAGCATGTAAAAATAATTATATTAGTTCATCTTTTCACTGTCGATTGCAACAAACATCTCAATTGATTAAGTTATTAAAATAACATTCTCGCTTTTTGTATTATAAATAGAATTTACCTGCCATGCTAATCTATTAAGGAACTTATATTATAATTCAACAAGTTTGTAAGGTTGAAAATCAGGAAGCAGGAAGCGTTAAAACGCGAGACCAAGAGAAAAAGCAACGAAACTTGCATAAGCGAACGGTATAATGTCCGACTCGCTTTCGTTGTTACCGTTTGATTGATCGCGGCTGCTACTCGATGATCCACGGCGATTCAACGTTTACGATTTGTACTCGTCACGTCTTCGTTCTCGGCGATTCGCAATAGGCGCCGTCCTCTGATGCACAAGACGAAATCCACTGATTAATCAGCCTTTTTTACGCGCTCTAAATCGACGAATCGCAGAGAAGCAAGTTTCGTCACGGCCGTTTCTAAATTCGATTCGCAACAGTTATCTATTAAGCCGGTGCATATGAAACGTCTGTTCCTCAATTTCTCAATCAAATCTGATTCCCCCGTTCTTTCTTAATTATACGAAATAACGAAATTGTAGAATTGATGATTTCGAACAGCGGAGACCGAAGAGACATTAAACTTCGTTAAACTTCGTTCACATCGATTCGAATTCGAATTTTTCTTCTCGCCCTGAATGCAGTTTGACAGCCGGACGTTATCAGAGCATATAATCTCGACGCGAGTGCATGCGAAGTGTCGATTTAATTGATGTTAGACAGCGGCAAACTCGACGATTTCGAATCATCCGTATCAAGGAATTTTAATTACATAATCAATTATATTTCGAGCGGAGTTCAAATTCTCACGAATTTCGTAGCCTTACGCAATGAAGTTTAAAGCGTGTCCGTTATGTAACGAAAAATCGAATGTCCTTTCGACGTCGCACAATTCACTCGTAAAAGGAGTTTACACCTCTCGCATATACCTTCCCTCCCGAGAAGGCCTTGTTACATTTTCCCGTTGATAAATCGCGCGCCTTTATGCTTTAAAGTATCCAATCCATTTTCAGCTTGATCATAGTTAGAATTCTTCGAATAATGCCCGGCGTCATTGGTCAATCGGCTGAGTGATCCACCTTCTACCTGGACCCGACTTCCTGTATCTCTGCATCAAGTGTCGATACCTTTCGACCGCAAGTAAAACGATATTCAGGGTCAAACGGTGAACAGAATCGGCCATTCTATCGGGCCGATCCCCGCCGATCGTCTCAGAATGGGGCTCTGTCGCTTAATTCGGAGCGCGCGGGGACACAATCGACGCCGCGAATCGAGGGCAGCAGCCGGCGGCTCGTTTAGAGAAAGGAAAGTCAAACGTGTACCAGAGTCTACGCCTCCTCTCTCTTTCCCTCCCTTGTTCGCCGGTTCAAACTGCCTCCCGAGGTGTTCTCTCTCACCTGGAGGTTGTTAGCTAAAAGCAAAGTAACATGTCCCTTCCCCGTGGCGTTTCGGTGCCGCGCTTTTGGGGAGCTTTCCACCACCATGTACCGGAGACCGCGTAGTCGATAAAGAACTACACGGGTACACACGGTGCTCGGCTAGTGAGGTTACCGCATTATATGAGACACTCGGTCAGTGAGTCTCTAACCGACAATCACTCGGCGCCGAGGGATCCAGTCGGTGGTCACTGACTACACGCCGGACAAGCTGCTCCAAGTAGAAGTGTCTTACTGTCGCACGACCGATAAATGGTGACCACCCGATTTAATTCGACACGCGACTCGCCGCATCGTTTCCATTCTCGTCTCTGTCACCCACTCGTATCCACACGAGGACTTGACCGTGGTTTAAAAGTGCGTCGAAAGTGCGGTAGACTCTAATTACTGGTTCCTCATAAATCTTGGTTCACCAAACCAGTTTCCGGAAGATTGATAGCAACGTGGAGCACGTGCAGGCAAAATGTACAGGTAAGGTATCAACTGCCATCCACTGGTCTACTATTTGTCAGTTCATTCTTAGGTCAATGTCAATATTATCTTTTTACGATAATTAAAAAATTAATAAAGTATAGTTTCTGACAGTAATAATCATTAAACTCGAATACGATAAGATACTATATGCAAAGCGTTTAGAATCGCCGTTGAAAGAAATTAAGTATCGATAAGTTACACCCGTTTCCCAACGCGCACGCATATAAAGAAATGCAACGCGGCGTAACAATTACCCGTTAGAAAACCTGCACTCTGACGTAATCTATTATTACGGTTAACGATTCGATTACTTTAAAAGATCGTCCACGGAAAATCTAATGACCTAATGATATTTCATTCATTGCCTTATAATCAGTATTCAGGTTTGCTATTTGCACTCCAGTCTATAAATCGTCTCTTATTACTCATTTATTGAAATAAACTTTCACTGTAATTAAATATATAATCAAATTACTATTAATTATATCTGTTTCCTTTTAATAATCCTTTTACTATACCAACGTATGAAATAAATTGTAAAAAGATGAATTATAGACAGAATTGCAAATCTGGATCTGCATAATCAGAACGAACTGTGTATCGGGACAAGCGAAATTGGATTCGATCATTCGTTGCACCGATGCGACGAGAAAAGTGAAAGGAGAATCCTGCGGTAGACGCAGCAAGAAAGTAATCCACGATCTTTATTCCCATCGGCATCCTATCTTAATCGCGTAACGACGGCGACGTTAATAACCGGGAATTGAAAATCGATGATAGTCAAGTTTCATAAGCACAAGAAGAATTTCCTCTGCAGCACTTTCACTGGCAAGCATTGAGTTTTAATTACTAGAGCATAATGGAACTTATGATAAATCGAGCTAGTGGAAAATAAATAGTAATTCATGACTTGTGAGAAAGTGTGATAGCAGGTGACTGCTTAACACAATTTTTAATCGCATTAACACTAGAAAGACTGAAACTTAGTATATACCTATATTGCCAATTACCATTATATCATTTTTATTACTCCAAGTGAAATGGTTACGTCCGCGGTCGGTCTAGTTCGAATGCCTGCGGTTTTCGTACTTTTTCAAAGCCACTTTTTCAGCTCTCGCCGGCTTCCGGTACGCCGCGTCGATTTCTTGCGCTCTCCGATCGGATTTCTAGCCGTTACGCGGTCGGAATACCGGGCAGAACCGTGCGTTTCGTAGGCCGGAGGAAAAAATTGAAGTTGCATCGAATCGAAAATCAACGAGGAGCGCACGCGGTCGCTGTTATCGGCGAGGATCGGCTGCTGTTACTCAACGCGCAAAAGCGATGTAACGCGGAGTAGTATGCAGTTTATACATACTTTAGTTAATGTTGCGCTCGAGGTACTCGTTTCGGAGTGCGTTACGCCTCCGACTTTGCGCAACTCTTTCGTTATGTACAGTTATTTATAGATATTAGATTCTACGCGATTGCTCCGCAATCGTCGGTCCCCCATTGACAACGCTTATTAGTCATTTCGTAACGACTGTCTATGCCAGCAAACAGAAATATGTCGAACCTCAGCTGGAAAGTGCCTCGTGTGTTTCATTTATCCTTATTCGAAAACGAAAGTTTTACTCCACGGAATATGTTTTGCGGTGTCTGACTGTTTCCAGGATGGATTAATTCTAGAATCGAAAAACGTGAAATTATCCTATCGCCGGTTGTACAACCTATTGCGTAATCTACATTCTAAATAACGACGGTTCTTCTAATTCTGTCAATTTCACTCGATAGAATGCATGCCATTTTTATTCGATGGCAACGGTGTCCTCGCTGGTGAGCAAAAAAAGGTAGCACGAGCCATGGATTCACGAGATTCTAAGCTGATCTATCTTGCCGAGATTTATGGTGGTCCGATACGTCGGGGATTCCTCGAATTGTATCGACTAGGTAGAGTCATTGACTGGAGGCAATTGGTTAATAGGTCTTATGAAATCGAACGCTTCGCGACCGGTTCCCTATCGGTGCGTTTCGTCCGTGAGCGGCCTGCAGATCACACGAACCAACGAGAAAAACTAACGGAATCTCGCGTGATTCGTATCGAAAGCGTTTACTCTAAATTTTAAACGATATAGGAAATTGCAACAAGAATTGAAAACGTTTATCTGATCTACAAATGATAATACGCGAGATTATAAAAGAGCAATAAAATCTTAGATATGTTTGATCTTGATAGTTCATGAAGAAAATTAAATCTGGCGCATCTTATGATCTCTCGAAAGTCAATGCGAGCGTTGCCACACGTGCCGTTACGTTTCCTCGGTTTTTCGAAATCATGCAGCGAGCGGTTCGTATTATAAGACGCAACTATACTTACACGGCGAACACTCGCATTATGTTAATGAACTTTTTGCCGGGAGAACAGAATTCAAATAGATGGTATCGCGTAAAATTGATGGTTCGATTCCTTCCTTTCTATTATTTTGAACACATACCGCCCTCAATTTCTACACCCAGCGTTACAATTGATCGTTGCACAGATTTCTCGTTGGCTAACGTTAATTAATAGTTTCGATTGAAGGTGAACGACAATTTGCAATTAAATCTAGAAAAATACGTCTTTATAGCGATTGGTCTCATTTTACATAAAGTGTAACGTCTGTGGTAGTTCGCATTGAACTTATAAACGAACTAACGAAACTGAAATTTAATCCAGTCCTGTACTCCAACCCGTCTGACAAGTCGCACTAAAAAGGACTCTAATCTAACGTTTTTTAAGATAAGAGTTGAATGGCCTCAGACCAGATCTCGTTATGAGTACATGTATGCATGATTTCCAGTGGACCGACGAGAATTATTACCCGGCTACACGTTTATACGACCTACTGCGACAGTAAAACGTATTATTAAAACAGAATAAAAAAAATGGCCATTTGCATCTGCTTTGCAATGTAGATTAACTTTTCGAATAATCGCTATTTCCATTCGATCAAATTATTTACTGATCCGTATTACGATTTATCCATGTAAAATTATATTGGGAAAACGTGTAATACATACAGTATTTTATATTACTGTTTCGTTCAAATTAGGGTTGGCTCGATGAAGAACGAACGAGAGTCAAGTGATTCGAGATTAAAAGGGTGGGCATTTCGGTCGAGGAGCCTGATTGCGAGGGGAGATAATGGTCCCTATTACAATGTTACAGATCCGTGATAGGGCGGACACGATCCGCGATAATCGGGCTCATGCTGCTACTGGCTAGCTGGCGAAACAGCGATAGCTGCAACGGGCTGCAATATCAACCGGCCGAGGTTTACGCAAACCGCGATGACTGCGCGCTGATCCTCAACGGACCAGGAAGGACCAGTGTCTTCGATTACACCTACAATTTGCTGCGCGGCTCCTTGTAAGTGATCTTAATAACTACACATCTCAAAGTGAATTTATGTTCGCGGGTAGACAGGGAGGGATGGATGCACACTGGTTCGAAAGCGAGTCGCCTTGGGCGAGAATTCTTTCGCAGTTGATTTATCGACCTGGCTACATATCTATATTAGTCTGTTACGACACGAAACGGTGAACGAGTGCAACGAGCGTTTACCGTGATGAGCGGCCTGTCACTCGCCCGTTCGTGAGATTACGTTGTTCCGTCGAGAATTTGGAAATTGATTTATCCGCGCCGCTTGAAAAACGTGGGAATCTTCTGACCAGGGCGTTGTCTCATCTAATCGTATATCATTCGAAAGAATTTTTCAGTTTTTATTTAATCAAATAGTTGTGTCTGTTTTCTAAATCCTTAGGTCACTCGAATCACAAAATAGAATGCAGGATTTATTAAAAGGATTATTTTATGAATTAGACTGACCTATAGTAAACAAATAATTTTTCAATTTTTAATTTGTTTAAATATTTTGTAAAAATAAGTCAAAAAACTATATATTCTTAATCACCTTATTTTATCTTTAACACTAACTACACGCATGATATCCTCAATCAAATAATTTTAAACTTTCAATCATTATCTTTAGGATGATCGCAGAAAGCAGTCGAGTAAAAAATCAAATATTAGATTCATATCAAACTCAATTAAATTTGCATTGAATCGTAAACTAGAATGCAGCAAGCCCGCGGCGTATCTTTGAATACACAGCAATATCGCAATTATCACACGTTCCTTTACCGATGCCTATCTTAATTACGATTCAGCAATCGATGTGAAATTAATGATCGGGGCAAACAATTGTTTAGAGAAGTATTTATCTCTCACCCCGATCCACGCCGCGTTGCACTTAAAACACATGAGATGGAATATTATACGTGGCTTCGGGGCGATTAGAACCAGACGCAATTCTAACGTATCCAAACACTTCTACATTATTTTCGACATCTGGAGAAAGCAGGAAATTGTGGCTAGAAACGATTCCAGGACTTTCACTACCCATCTAACCTTTGCTCTTAACCTTTGATCCTATATTACATCTTATAGACCATTAAACAGAATTAATTGCAAAATTAATGGATAACTGATTAATGGATTGCNAAACGCTACCAACCCAGGTCTCACCGCGTGGAGGTGACTACGTTCGAGACCCGGACAGTGGACAATCCCCACTGCCCCCTTCCCTATTAAATTGCCATCCTATTATACGGAGCGAATATTGGAGAAGGATTTTATACGATTGCGAACAAGACTCTAACTATTGACTCTAAATGGAAACTAAGGTGAGAACAAAATGTCAGACTTCACTTGGGCACCAGAGTTCGAGCCGAGCAGGACCCTGCACCCGAATGACGATGCCTCAGCGCAGGAATGGCCTGACCACGACCAATCCGTCTCACCGAGCTTATAGACCGGGCGCTCGTAACACAAAAAATGGAACAATTTTTTACAGTCTGCCATTGATAGGGGAAATATTTACAGCCACAAGCTGTAGATAGATGTACTTAAAAATCTTCGTTACGTGTTAATGCATACTTAAACATTAACTTTAGTTAGCAAAAAGAACGTAGTTTCTTGAAACAACTTTCAAATAGTCTGCCATTTATTTGAGCACAAGGCAAGATTGCGCGATCCATGAAAAGCTTATTGGCAGATGGTTTTCTCCAGTACAAGAATAAAGCGTACTTATGTTAGTTAGCAATTAAATCGTATAAAAACAATCGTCTAAGAACAATTTTTTTACAATCTGCCAAGCTCAATTTAGGCTAATGTTAGCGTAAAGTTGACGAAATTTCACAAGGCAGACTGTTTGAAAGTTGTTTCAAGAATCTATGTTCTTTTTACTAACTAAAGTTAATGTTTAAGTATGCATTAACACGTAACGAAGATTTTTAAGTACATCTATCTACAGCTTGTGGCTGTAAATATTTTCCCTATCAATGGCAGACTGTAAAAAATTGTTCCATTTTTTGTGTTACGAGCGCCCGGACTATCGAATGATCCTAAGCGATGATAGATAAATAAGGGAGGAACAACTATACTCTAAGAAGATATACATGTGAAGCAGACAGCTTCATCCGTGACACGGGAGTCGATAGAAATGCAACGACTCCTGGTTGATGAATTATTAATAAGGAAGCGATAACAAGGAGACAGGTCTCGCCGATCAGCTCCTGAACTACTGTCTCCGATTACAATACAAAAGCTGATCACTGAGAACCTGATTTACAACATAGTTTTTTATATCCGATGAAATTTCGACATGTTCATTTGTTTTATATGAAGACAGATGAAAATTATGATCATAAACATCTGACCATTGAGTTATATAAAATATCTGGAGTGTGCGCGTCTGTCAAAAGTCGTAAGATAGAAGATCTCTATTTGTATTATCTTGTAGTAAATTTAACTATGGTGGGGATAGAAGTTCAGTATTCTATCGAATCACTTGAATTTATAACATTGTCAATCACTCGACATATACGCGTCCGAGTTCAGGTTCAGAAAACATGCATTATACACCTAAAAAGAGAAAGAGATTCCTTCACGGTTCCTCTTCGTCGGCGAACGTACCCCCCCATTCGTTCACACTCCAGATGTTTTATATGTATAGCTCAATGCATCTGACACGAAGAAGCAAAATACATTTAGTATTGTCTCCGTGAAAAAAAAGTGTCGATAGGAATTTATGAAAGGAAAAAGTATCGCAACGAAGAGGCTATCGTGCTCGAGACAATCGTTCACCTTCCGACGTGGAAATATACAAATCGTTCGCGAGTCGTTATTACTTTGCCTAACACGAAATCGATTTATTAATCCCGTAGCTGGTCGAAGATCCACGACGCGGCACAGGATTCTGTCAGCCATAACGATGCATAATACGATTGCACGGTTTCCCTGCAATTACGAGATTTGAGCTGCCTACGCGTGCCTCCGTCTGTCCGTGGGGCTTATGCATGGACCGTGTTGCCTCGCGTTAACGCGAGCGAAGGGGCGAGCGTGAGTCGACTCGGCAGTCACGATTAAATCTTCTCTAATCGCGAAAAAACCGTCACGGCTGCTCGTGATCCTTTCGCGTCCAGCCGCTAATAAAACATGACAGATCTGCCCGGGATAAAGGGAAGCAACGATCCGGACACGAATCCAATTCGATGCCGAGCCTAGCCGGGATAATTAGAAAGTTGCGCGTCGCGTCGCTCTTGTAATTTGATAGACAATCGAAGTCCTGCTCTATATTCTCTTTTTTTATCTAAATCTCCTCGGTGACAATTTTTCACACGACATTTCCCACGATTGTTCCCATGAAACGAGCGTTCAATCGTACGTCGTGTTTACAATTACTGCACGTGTAAACAGCGCGAGTTAGCATTGTATCCGCGTGCTTGTCCAACGAAGAAATCGCCCGGGGGACGAGATATATGTACAACGGCTCGCGATTTAGAATGGGACGCGAGGAAACGCGCGTCCCTATATCTGTCTGTGCGTTACACTTGCACTTACTAACCTCGGGTGAAAGCCAACGTGTGCGTTCGCGCCGGCACCAATATTTTCGCAAGATATCGCCCGTTACGGAACAACGAGCCGGCCACGCGAGAATTTTTCTCAGGAATTTTCGCGTTCACGGTAGACTGATCAACCGCTTATGCTCCCGTCGTTATCGCTCTATTGAAATTGATGTTTGCTTGGAAAAATAATGGAAACGTCGCATAAAGACGATGTACCTCCACCCATAAGTGTTTGTTAAAACGACGATCATACCGAACAATTAACACATCTTGCGCGGAAGCGACTAAAGTCGTTTTGCGCGGATTTCACATCTTACGCGGGAAGCGACTAAAGTCGTTTTTCACGGATTATTGATGGATTATTGTTATCGATGGTTTGTGATATTGTATCGATTTTTGTGATGATTTTACAATAAGATCAGATACACATGAGTTGCAGAAATACAAAAGGTGCGTTGCAAGAATGAATTCCTATGAATTCGTTTTGCTGACGCGATTACGTTGTAATACGCTAAAGATTCGAAAGAAATCGCCCGCTACATGGTAAGGGTTTGGCGGCAAAGTGCCCGTGCAAGATGTGTTAATCGTTATAAATTATGTCAATCAGAAAATTGTAACACATAATTGATCGTACAGTAAAATATAAGAAATTGTATAAGAAAGTGAAGACTCAATTAGTATACAGATGCCAGCGTTAGAATTCAGCCTTGTACAGCGATACCCTGTGTCAGCTGATACTGAATGAAATGGAAAATCTATAGCTTGTGCAATGAATATATAGAGATCGTGTTCCAAGTTTCGTTACGACAATGAATATCCCGTAATGTGGTATAGCTTTACAGTTTCCATTCTAAACGAATGCGACTTGTTCCTGTCTGTCCTTGCACGGAGATACTCAAAGATAGAGCAGATCCTCTCATGTACTATTACTATATCTTATATCAGTACGTCTCTCAATTAAAAAATTCTATCATTTAAACAGAACGTCTCTCCTTACAATAATATAAGCCTGTTTTATTAATGTGGGATCCCAGAAAAATAGACAATCTTTCATGAAGATAGGCAATTGACGACGAGACTCAAAGAGAAGCAGACATGTTAATTTCTTTTCATTTATAATAAAGTTTTATTGTTAAAAAGTCGCTCGTTCATCGCTTAAAATCAACTTTAAACTGCATCTTTGCATTTAAGATCCCAAATTAATTCGACATTTACTCAAACAGTCATTCTTTGTTGTATGAGATTTGAACTCACCAGGAAGAATGTAATCAGCATAGAAGCGTCGTCAGGCAAACTTTAAATGTTCGCGTTTGTCACTACTTAAAATCACTCATCACACACATAGAAATAATATAAGAACATTACATTTAAAACGAACGAAAATTGTCTTAATGCGCGGATCACGCACGGTACGACTCGACCGTTTCAGCATCGACCGTGAACTAAACGTATGAAGAAATTCGGAATTTTTTTTGCCCTTACAATTAGAAACGGAACATTGAGTGCCTGTTTACAATTGCGCTGTTCTCGTGTCCTTGTTTTGGTCGATCACTTACATAACACCTCTGCCTAGCAATTATAGCTATGTATTATGATCAACATTATTTGAAATTACGACTTTAACTCATTCGCTGCCAAGGACGAGTATACTCGTCTTTGGCAGGGTGTCACGCATTGCCAGGACGAGTATACTCGTCTTTGGCAGGGTGTCACGCATTGCCAGGACGAGTATACTCGTCCTGCTTTAAATATATTATAACATGCAGGCTCTTTTGAAGGCCCATTGCCAACGACGAGTATACTCGTCTTTGGTTTTCTGCTTCTAAATGATTATGTATGATAATATATGTGCTCTTACCAAGAAATAACAGGGTTTTGGTAAACAATAGCACTCAAAATATAAATGGCAATAGGAATGACTTCATATAATTTAGGCTTGGCAGCGAATGGGTTAAAAA